CCCCATAGTTGTGAAGCATACTGCCATATAGGTTTTAATATTTGATTATACAGCAAAATTTTGTTTTTCTTTGACAATTTTGATCTTTTGCCTAACAACCAATACATTTTTTTATACTTTTTATTTAATTCTTTCACCTTGATTCTGATGTGATCTTTAAAAGTAAGTCTAGAGTCTAAATAAACTCCTAAATATCTAGCGCTTGTAACGTAAGGAACTTGTTCATCTTCTATGAGAACTGGTAATTGTGGTATTTTCCTATTTGTAAAAACAGTATGAGCAGATTTACATGCGTTGAGCGTGGCGCCATTGTCAGAAACCCACTCAACCATTTCATCGATAGCTTTTTGTAATCTATGATTAGAGATAAATATGTCTTTGTCTCTTTCTGCTAAGGCAGTATCATCTGCAAAAGTGCCGATAAAGCCCCTCTTCGGTTTTGGGATGTCGCTAGTGAAGATATTGTATAAATATGGGCCCAGGCATGATCCTTGCGGTAATAAGTATTTAAGGAAGATATTATGTGTGTTTTGTAAATCTTAAGGTTGTTCCGTGTCAAACTAAATGATTACCAAAGCTTTTTTATTTTTCTGCAGCATGTTGTACGCAACCTAAATTACCGCAATTCTAAAAAATCGATGTACAAATGAGTTAATACAAAAGATTGAGTGCGTTTTGGGTTTTTTCCCTCTTTTATTCATTATTGTATAGTTTCTTTCAACTGCAGCTCGTTGAGATTATTATCTATGCCATATACCTTGGAATAGGTTTTACAAATATTTACCACATTTCAAAAATGTAAATGCTTTCATGAAAAAAGTATATGTATAGAAGGTATATTTTATATCGAAAATTTAAAGGATAAAAATGACAATGAGCATTTGGAAAGGTACATCAAAAGAAGAAAGTGACATTTCATTTAAAAAATGAGTTACAATAACAACGCCTCCTTGTCTCCATATGTTCAAATTACGGTATTGTCAGTATAATTTTACACGCGGACTAAAATAAAACGGTTGGGCTAAGTCACTGTTGCTTAATTTACGGGTGGACGTAAACTACTGGACAAAACAGGTGAGCGGACAAAAATCGTTGACCAAATGCCCTTAAACCACCAAGACTAAAAATTTGTAGTGCGATACATTGCATTTTACATCTACACTAAGTTTATGTTTTAGTTAATGTCGAAGAGTTTTTCGAGAATTCCCCATTAACGACCATAAAATACAAATCTCTATTGGTAAAAATATTTATTGAAGAGCTAAGATGTTTTTCAACATTTATTATACGGCTGTTTTCTAATCGCCTTCAACCGCGTCCGCAGCAATTGTTGTTACGAATATGTTGTGCGTGCTGATTATGGTTCATTACATACTCAACTCTCTGAAGGCGTTTTTTGTGCACAACCTATTCCGTTCGTTCTCCAACAGATCGCGCTACTCGCGCACATAAAACGCCTTCAGAGAGTCGAGTATGTAATGAGGTAAAATCAGCGCGCACAACATATTCGTAACAACAATTGCTGCAGACGCAGCTGAAGGCGAATTGTTTAGTTAAAAAAAAATATGATAGGAAGTCTGCATATAACGAGAGGGCATGTATTCGATCGGCCTCGAACCGGACGAAAAATACAAACGTGAACCGATCAACACCGATTCAATTGACAAATAAATAGAAAAGCCAAGACGATTAAAACCAGCAGAAAACTTGCATTTACAATGAAAATTTCAAATGTTGATATCTTGAAATCAGAACCAATCAAAATTTCGATTTTTTGCGATTTTCAGTCCACGTGTACCATAGACTTACTCCATTTTAAAATCGTTTTTGGGTACATTTTCGTCTCATTTTTTTCTTGGGTTCCTCGCATTTTGGGTTCCTTGTATGTCAGGTGGGGCAGCCCCTGGGGGGTTGGGCTTGTTTTATGTTGGGGGGCGGCCTCTGGGGTTCGGGGCTGCTTGGATTTCAGTGGGGCACCCCGAGGGTTGGGTTCCTTGGATGTCAGGTGGGGCACCCCAGGAGGTTTTGCTCCCTATTAAATACGTATCACATTGCAGAAATTCGTACCATGTTGCCTGGGACAATGATTTGCCTACAATAAACCGGGTATGCAAAATGACTGTCGTGTTGCACGAATAGTGGTATCAGACTTTTGCATTAAGTTTACGGATTGGGTTGAAGGCGCTCGTCTGTATCCACTGTGAGTGGCCTTGTACAACGATGTTGACCGAATAGTTCATAATTTTAGGTCTTCAATGGAGCCGTAATTTCGAAAAATGCCGAGGAATATTATTTTGAAAAAATAATGAGATTTTTTTTGGTCCTAAAGTTTTATTTAAATAAAAGAGAGCCCAAATGTTTGGTTCAGATTGGGGTTTTTATGTCTTCTTGCTTTGGTCATCGTAGTCTCATGCAAAGCTAAGAGAGTCGCCGTTCACAAGATCGCAACTTACTCAAAAGTTGATGTAGCTTGATTTTGCCCGATGAGATCAAACTAAATATTATCTGATAAGGAATTGTAAGCGTGTTATTCTTTTTCCAGTCTTTAAATGATCCAAATCCGCGAACAACAGTTTTAAAAAACCAATTGCAAAAAAGCGTTTTTCGTGATGAAGTGTCAATTCTTAGTGCCGGTAACATGAATTTCGGCATTTCCTCCGTATTTTCTGACAGTCGTTCGAAAAACTATTCAGAATGCTGATGAAGTCTGAAAAAACATCTTATGCTAGCTATCCTTAAGAATTATTTCCCTTCAACTAACAATAAAGAGGAATGTAGACAGGTTTTTTACTCTCCTGGAAAATCGTGTTTTCCGAGTTACACACTTCTGCATTTTCACCATCGATATGTAGTGATGTAAAATCAGCACGCACGAGAGATTTATAAAAACACTTGCTGCAGACGCTGCTGAAGGCGAATTGTTCAGTTAACAAAGAAAGTGATAGGAAGTTCGCACGCAACGAAAGGATATGCATTCGATTGACACGATTCAAACGGCTAATAAAAACGTGAATTGGTCGACGGGAACCGATCGAAACCGATTCATCGGAAAAATAAGTAAAAACTGGAGCAAGAGCAATAGAAAACTCGCATTTAATATAGAAATATCAAATTGCGATATCTCGAAAATAGAATCAGCCAAGATTTTGACTTTTTTTGCCTTAAAGTTTACACGTGCTATAGATTTACCCCCTGCGAGCCGTTTTAGTTTACACTTATGCTTTTTTTTTTTTTTTTTTTTTTTTTTTTTTTTGGCCTCCAGACCACTGTTATCAAGAAAGCGGCTAAAACGGTTGTAGAGCGCGATATGATTCAAGTATACGAATGATATCATGTGCGCGGCGATTTCAAATTTCCCATGACCAATGTGAACTAAAAACATTAAAATCTCAGTTCGGCATTAATTTTAGCAATTTTTGTTGCTCGAACTGTGTTTTAGGTAAAATTCTGATTAAGAAACGTGTATCAAAAGGTTAAATTCGTACCCCGCCTCGTACATTGACTCTAAAATCACATTAATTGGTTCTTAATTGATTAGCTAACCAATGAGTTGGAAGCAGATGTGACTCAATCTACAAGTCGATCAGTAGTTTTATTCATCTTCGCGATGTTAATAGAATATTATTATTTTTTAAATCATATTTAAAATGCATTTGAAAAAATCATGACAAAAGAGTGAATATTCTTACAAAAACCTAGTCAAAAAACTAAGTTACAAAAAGAATGAGAAATTCGGGTAATTAGCAAGATGTGATGGAATCTGACTCACATTTCGATTTGAAACTGGATTTATGGCACATTACAAAATAATAGCACTGCGTTCAATTGTGAAAGAAAGGTCGCTTAGCGATGTTTCGACAGACTCCTTCATTTGCACCCGTTCAAAAGCATTGAAACGCGACATGCAACTATTTTAACTCTCCGGAGAGGAAATTGCATACTTCCCAAACTGAAGGGGTTTTGAGCGGAGGCAGGAGCTCCGTGAAAATCGGGATACTTGTTGTGCATCCAATTTTCATGAAAGTTTCGAAGGGCAGTTTGACTCGCCTTGAAGCGAACGCGTAAAAGGCATAGTCCTCTGGAAGCTGAATATTCTATTTTTTCGACAAAGCTGTGTACAAAGAGATCAAAGGGAATATAGAGCGATCTTTTTAGTTCAAATGGCCTATGGTAAGGTTACTGCATCGAAGTGGTGTGTGTTGCCTATCTGCTGATGGAAGGGACGCTTCACGTGGAAATGGATTGTGTTAAAATTGAAATGAGTTGCAATTTTTATTTGCGTTGCAAATTGCCAATCATTCTGAGACATGTGACTCATGACATTGATCATTCAAAATGGGCATTTATTAACCAGATTATTTAAAAATATTGCACTTTTGTTGCATTTAATCGCAATTTTACTTCAATATTTTCATTGCAATGTGCCGCTTGGGGTACTGTCCGTTTTTCCGGCAAAATCTTGTCTAATACTCCATTGTAACTGTGGGGTGTCAAAACTTCCATAAACAGTGGATGCTCAACAATTCTCGCGATTGCTACGGTACGCCCTGGGCGACTGCTACGGTAGCAGTGGTACGCTAGCGTTCAAAACTCCTTCAGTTTGGAAAGTATGCAATTTGCTCTCCAGAGAGTTAAAAGAGTTAAACCAAAATTAATGTTAGCGAAGATGCATGAAATATCTACAAATTTATTCACTTACACACCGATGCATTTCGGCAAATATAGGCATCATCAGCTAATACATTTGTAGACATTTCATTCATTTTGGCCAATATATTATTTTTTGTTTAAGTTGATTCAAAAGATGCAATAATGCAAAATTGCAGGAAATTAAAAGAGTTGCTTGTCGCGTTACAATGCTACCGAACGATTGCGTATATGAAGAGGTCCGTCCGGGAAACTGCCGAACAACCTTATTTATTTCACAGTTGAACCGCGTTAAGTAGAAAGGAACCGAGCCACATCAGGTATTGCCGTATTTAACTAGGCAATTACTTCTTCTTTTTTTATATAAAAACGGTTGGGTGGATTTTTGTTCATACTGTAGCGAAATTTTTGCAAAGTATGAAGCAAATTCCTTAAAATATTCACAGAGATCCGCACAGACGTTCTCTTGTAAAAAATTAAATTTCTCAGTTAAATTTTGCGAAAGCCGATAAGGCTTGGATCCTTTTTACTAAACGTGGTCTTTGAGCATAGAGCTAGCGTGAAATGAGCCACAGAAATAGTTTCTAAGTAAAATGTAAGTAAAAATCATCACATCTCGCTACGCCTTCAAATATGTCTGATACTGTGCAATAAACCACAGTTAAAATAGGTGTATTCTTGGGTTGAAACCTAACTGAAGTATATTGCTCTAGCAAATAAGGTATGCCAACCTGTTGAATGCTGTATTTTAAGTTACCTCGTACATTACATTTTATGCCCATTATTACCCGAGACAAAAATTTAGGCCTTAATTTATTTAAAAAGAGAGGTCCATCGTTCTTGATGTGGCCAACAAAATAGGCTCGCCTGAAAAAGATCAAATTGAAACGAAAGTATTGAAAATCAGAAACATTGAAAAAAAAAAAAAGAAAAAAAAAAACATTGGATGCTCAATGCTCGCTATAGGGTTGATTCACATCTGGCTGTGGATACTTACACTTTGACTAACGGTGATTCCCTGCCTCTGATGGCAGGTGGTGTTGGTTGAGTTGTTGACGTTGGCCCGGAACCTCTGGAGGTCGTCGTCGAGGTCCAGGATGTTGGCCAGGAGGCTCCGCGAGGAGCGCTCCCGGATCTCCAGCTCCCGCATCCGGTGCGAGATGCTTATTGTCTTCAGCGTGATCTTCTTCCCCGGCCGCCCCATCCGCAGCACCCAAGGCAGGTACTCTAGGAACAGTTTCTGCACCTGAAAAACCCAACAACTCGGTCAACGCTCAACTTTGAACAGAGGCAGAGGACAATGGAGATGTTGCATGTGTGAGGAATTTGCGTTTTGACTGTTGATTATAATGTAAAAATTCTTGAGGAACACGATGGTGCCACTGGTTTCCTCTGAAATCAACTCCCAAGCTCAAAAAAAGCTCTCAAGTTGAGGCCAAAATGGAGGAGATATCCCAATTATCCCACCCTACCCTGAGAGTCCACATCTACGTCAAGACAAACTCTCCATGCAAAGATAGGGAGCAAATACATTAGCAGGGTTGCCACTTTATTTGGGGACTCCAATACTGAAAACACGGCAACCTTGCTAATGTATTTGCTCCCTATCTTTGCATGGAGAGTTTGTTTTGATGTAGAGGTGGACTCCCAGGGTAGGGTGGGATATCCCCTCCATTTTGGCCTTAACTTGAGAGCTTTTTTTGAGCTTGGGTAGTTGATTTAAAAAAAAAACAGTAGCACCACCGTATTTCTCGCAAACTTTTACATATGAATTAACAGTCAAATTGCAAATTCCTCACACATGCAACATCTCCATTGGATGCGTTTCTGTCGAACGAAACTATGTGCATTGTGGCGTGAGCCCTGTAGTGCATACATATTTTTGGTGCTCAGGGCTCATGTCTTGATGCACATATTTCAGACAGAAATAGTCCAATTGATAGGCTCATATCATATAGACAATATCAACGGTAAAACTATTTACCACTTCTCCATTGAGTATTTGTTTTCGAGAGAAATGTTTTCTTTCCCAAGCAACCAGTTGGTGCTTAGAAGATGAATGTATCCTTTCCTAAGCACAAACTAGTTGCCCAAGAGAGAAAACATTTCTCTCTTCTGCCTACCAGACCCGGTATCTCGGTTTCCGACGTTGCAGACTTCCTCTGCAGTCCTACTAAGGAAGAACGCCGTATGAACCTTTGATTGCCGTTGATGAGACACGAACTTCCAGGTAAACTTATGGATATTTTTCTTCCAACTTTTCAGATAATTTTGCTCGCAATTCCACCGAAAAGTCCTGAAAATTTCAAGAGAAAATATCCATAACTTTGAAAAAAAAATGAAAATTTGATCGAAGGAAATTTAGCAACCATCGAGTGTTCATTCGGCGTTCTTCCTTAGCACGGCAGTGTCACAAGTGCTTTTTTAAATGGAAAACTACTAGACGTCCGTTGGACATATTTTTGCGGATTTCGGAGATGAAAAATTTCAAAAATCGAGAATCACCGATACTAGGCGTAACTTGGCCTGTTGAATGCATCCCGGAGAGTTCCAAAAATTACATGAAATTTCTTGAAATTTTACGCGAATAAATTTTATGATATTTTCGATCTCCGCGAGTGGGGCAAAAGTTAAATTCAGAGGTCAATGCTATTATTCGCATGATTATTATTTCATGGTGTTTGATGAATAATTTGTTGAGCATAAAATTCGCCAAATGATGACGGATAAATGCTGGAGAAGGGACTTTGCTAGGCAATTTTTTTGCGAATCCAGGCTAGGTTTGCTAAACTATTGCTCAACTCTTTGGACATCAGTCATCATCAGGCGAATCTCAGCGTTGACTTCTGAGAGTAACTTTTACACTCTAAAATATAGTGTCTCTGCTTTTAAAGCAAGCTTTGCGATAAATTTGAACACAGCCACGTTAATTGTGCCTTAAGATGAGGGGTGGGAGAACTGATATTTCCTTTACCACAGCTCATACACTGCGGATTCTGCATAGCTTGAGGTGATGTACACCCAAAAATTTCTAAAATTGACCTTTTTGAAACCATTCAAACTATGAGGACAAAAATGGAACCTCGAGAAAACTGCAACGCTCACAATATCATTTAGCAATGAAAAAAATGGATTGAAATTTTGATCCTATAGCCCTGTGTCCACTCGTCAAAACGGGGTCAAAATGGAAGCTCAACATGAATCGATAAATACGATCTGTTCGCGATTGATGATCAAAAAAGAGTCGCGCCGCTCTATTTTGAGTTGTAACACTCATCAATCGCGTCAATTAAGTCCCGACTTTGAGCCACTTATCGTTGAAATCGATTCACTTTGAGCTTCCATTTTGACGAGTGGAGAGAGCGCTTATATTTTTGACAAAATTAGAATGCGATAAGCACTGAGTACTGAAAATCCATACTTTTCATCCCAAATTGAGGTTTTTCACTGTAAGTTGTAAAAAATTTAAAAACCTAAAAACCATCAGGAAACGTTGCACCAGTCAAAAATATATTTTCACATCAAAATTACAAATAAAACATAGTGGATCTATTGAAAATAGCCAGTTTAGACTTAAAAAAGAATGAGCATTTTCCGTTTCACCGATTCGAACGATCCATTGAAATCAAATCAGACACCCAACTCATTGCAGTGTAGAGGAAATGACCCTGTGAAGACTCAAAACTTCCTGTCTTTTTATTCATTGCAAGTTTATCCTTACTAATCCATGTTATTTGTTTTCACTAGGTCGTACTTCAAACGTACAACGAAGCTGATTCACTTTCATCCTTTGAAATTATACCTACATTATACCTCATAGAGAGTGACGAGACAACGTATGAGTTACCAAAATACCTTATATTTTTACATGAAAAATACAAGTAAAGCATGGTGAACTTGTAAATAATAGTCAATTTAGACTCATAAAAGAGAAATAAGCGTTTTCCGTTTTGTCGATGCAAAGCTTTTTAGTTTCATCTGATCAAAGAGCTGGAAACATGGATGCGGCTTTTGGACGGTATTCTTGATGTTAGGGTGCAGTCAAGAGATATCGATTCGTCCTTTCCCAACTATGAGGCTATCTCTAGTGGCAGGGACTGTAAAACATCTCTTAGAGAACGTATGAATTTTAATTAAAAAACTCTTAATAAAACTGTTAAGATTTACGAAGAAGGAAACCCTTTACGGGATTTTTTCAAACGTAAAGTTTATAAGAGATCAAATTTAAGCACAAGAATTGTTTGAAAAACACTCTTAATGTGATTCGCAAAAATAATGCACTGGTTTTCAACACTTTTTTACGTGAATTTTACTTTAAAAATTGTTTTAATAAATCACGTTTCTCAAATAAGTTTTTTAACACTTTTTATTACTTAAATTTTACGTAAAAAATCCCGAAATGGGTCCCCTCCTTCGTTAATTTTGACAGTTTTTTTAAAGAGTTTTTTCAAAACAAGTTCAGACAGCCGTTGCTAGAGGGGGTGCGATGTTGGACGATCTTCACAGCGACTCTTATCGGTACCAAAATTGCAAGGGTTGACGCCCGTACTGAAAATCTCTCCCGGCATTTCAGTGGCAGGCACTGTGTCGGCAGCAGTGGTCGACGGCGAGCTTGTTCCAATGATCGGCCAACCTGCGCTGGAACCTCTCGGCGGGGGTGCGGACGCCCCTGAGCGGCCTGCTACCCGACGTGAAATCCGCCTCGAAGATGTCGGGCGTTCGCCTGGCCCTCTCCTTCAAGCGCTCTCGGAGCCGGTCCAATCGGGAAGCGATGAAATCCGGTCCGTGGAGGTGCTTCCACGTGCCATCCTTCAGCACCTCCAATCCGGTACGGAAGTTCTTGAGCGAAACCCTCCCCCCGGCCGCGTGGGGGTCGTCGGCGGTGTCCGGGGGGTGGCGGGGGTGCCTCGAGGAGGGCGGGCAGCTCCCGGGACGAGCGGGAGGGGGCGCCGAGGGGGTGGTCGGCTCCGGGTCCTCCATGCTGTTCAGGAACTGCTCGAGCTGGTAGCTCATGGCCTTTCCGCCGGGCAGGGTGTGAGGAGACGGAGCGGGCGTGGGCTCGTCGCAGGGTTGAGTCGTTCTGGGGTATAACTGCTCCGTCTCGAGTGCCTCTGCTGGAGGAGTCCGCGCTCGAGGGTGAGATGGACATTGTAGAGGAGACTCTGGAGGTGCTTGGTATGGAGATTCCGGTGGAGACTCTGGAGGTGCTTGGTATGGAGATTCCGGTGGAGACTCTGGAGGTGCTTGGTATGAAGATTCCGGCGGAGACTCTGGAGGTGCTTGGTATGGAGATTGAGGTAGAGACTCTGGAGGTACTTGGTATTGGAATTCCGGTGGAGTTCGAGGGATGGATGTCACCCCTTCGCGTGGTTGAGACCCTGCTCTCTCGTGCTGGCGAGATCTGGTTCGCTCTTGCTGCGGAGATGGCACTTCTTCCTGAGGTTGAGGTCCCATCTCTTCCAGCTGTAGAAATCTCGCTCCCTCTATCCAAGGAGATCCTAGGCTCTCGTGCGGTGGAGATCGCACTATTTCCCGCGGCGAATATTGCGTCCTCTCCTGCAGTTGAGATCCGACTTTCTCGTGCAGAGGGGATCCCACTACGTCCTGCACTGGAGAGCTTACTCTTCCCTGAGGTGGATGTTCCAACCTTCCCTGCAGTGGCGATCGCAATCTTTCCGGTGGGTATCTCATCCTTTCCTGCTGGGGACATCCTGTCATTTCCTGCGGTAGATATCCCATCTTCTCCTGCGGTGGGAATTTGTGTCCCTCCGCCGATGAACATAGCGTTTCCTCCTGGGGCAGACATATCACTATTTCCTGCGGAGGAGCCTCCGTCCTCTCCTGCGGTGGACATTCCGATCTCTCCCGCAGTGGAGATCTCCTTCTGTCTTTCTCTGGAGATCCCGCTCTCTTGTGCGGTGGAGATTCCGCCCTCTCGTGCGGCGGATACCGCGATTGACGCTCCGCCCACTCGCACAGTGGAGATTGCGGCGACTGTTTCAGAAACTCGCGGGGTGGAGGTGGGGTTTGAGGCCCTGTCCACACGTGCGGTGGATATGGGGTTTGAGGCCCCGTCCACACGAGGGGTGAACATGGGGTCTGAGGTCCCATCCGGGGGTGGGTTTGAGGCTCCACCCACGTGTGCGGTGGAGGTGCGGTTTGATGTCCTGTCCACACATGTGTCGGCGATGGGATTCGAGATAGAACCCGGCCTCGGGGTGGAGGTTCCGCCCACTCCAGCGGCTG